CTCTCTCTCTCTCTTTCTCTCTCTCTCTCTCTCTCTCTCTCTCTCTTATATATATATCTACTGCAGATGTACGGAGTATATATTTGCATGATGCATTCCACATAGGTCACTACTACATTCAGACGGAACCCCTGAGATAACACCAAAATGTACATAGTCAGGTATCTAGACACAATCACAATTACTACCACAGCCCAGTTCTCTACACAGTCGTTCTACCCATATACCTAGAATAGCCCGCCACAAGCAATAGTGTGTGGCATTACCTGGTAGTAACCGCCTTTTTTTAACCGCCTTTTTCGGCAAATAGTTACAACTTAGTTAGTTACACCCGAGCTTGCTTACGTCATTCCTACTCCCCCGATTGCCGAGGTTACTGTCACGTGCCGCACCGGGCCACTTGGATCTACATCGGAGATTCTGCAAGGAAAGAGGCTTACTAATATCTATCTAGACCCCTTCCGGCCCTTTTATTTTGGACTTCTACTCTGCACATACAGCTCTATCTTCATCTGCATTTCTCCTCTCTACGTATACAGCTGTATCATCATCGCGCCAGGAGATTGCTGCTGGTTGTCCTATCCTAACCTCCTTTGCCAAACCCCCTTTGCCTCACACACGTCGGCAATATGGTTGTCACGGCTCTCGCCCACCACCCAACGGTGGCCCATTACCTTAGATTTGTGGCTACTACGGGTATGTCCATTGCCCCCCTGTTTCTTTTGTTCCTTTGTGGGCAATTCTCCTCCTTTGGTCGTGTTATCTGTTTTGTTCGGTTGAGGGGGCCTTCAAGACAGCTGCCGAAGAGTGTAAAGAGATCGCCGGGGCGGTGGGGGCGGTGGGAAGGGGGAATCAACTTGCCCTCTCTCCCCAGATGAAACCCCCCCCCCCCTCTCTTACTAACAACTTTATATATATACACATATATACATCTTAAAACACTCCAATCCCCTTTCCTCCCTATCTAAAAGCAAACCAAAAGAAGAAGAAAGAAAGAAAGAAAGAAAGAAAAAAACAACCACTAACCCAAACTCACAAATATCCAGTTGGCCGCGACAAGGTCCTCCGCACCCTCCAATACTTTTCCCGCTTCTACGCTTGGTACCTCTACCGTACCAATAACCCCCAATCCGCCATCGCCCCCTTCGAAGCCATCAAGAAGCAATTCGGCACGACACGTAAACTGCTCCGCTTTGGCAAGAACATCGAACACTTCAAAGCCGCAGCCGTAGCGCTAGACTCGCGCTCGCCAGCCGCCAATGCCGATCCGGTGCTCAAATACCTCGGCATCTGCCGGCAACTGGGCTACGGCATCTACCTGTCCTTCGACATGGTATCCTACCTCGACTCCGCTGGCATCCGCAAGTTTGCCAACGCGAAGAAATTGCAGGCTAGAGCGCAGCGGGCGTGGTTGACGGGGTTGCTGTGCAGTGCGCTGGCGGGAGTGTATTCGTTGTGGATGCTGAAGGAGAGGGAGAAGGCGATTAACAAGAAGGATGGCGAGAGTGTGGTTGAAGGGAAGAAGATTGAGAAGTTAGTAACTGTCCATCTATCTATCTGTCCTTTATCCTCCCCGCCCCCTCTATATATATATGTTCTAGTCTCCGCCACATTTTACTAACTGTGTTCCCTTCCGCGCCCCCTTACAGAGAACGCACTGCTGTCCTCACACAGCTCGTCTCCGATTGCTGTGACATCACCATCCCCAGCTCCGGATTGGGCTACGTCAATCTGGATGATGGCATCATAGGCCTGGCCGGTACCATTAGTTCACTGATCGGGCTGCAGAGTGCCTGGAGAAAGACAGCATGAGCACAACTAGGTTTTCCTTCGTGCTGGAGGAGGCGGCTTTGTTTGATTAACTGACGAACCTGCTTTGAGCTGAGTTCGCGGGTGTGTTGGCGTGTTGAAGAAACAGATACCCACCCCTGGCGAGACCGTGGTCAAGAGGGATGAAGGATACATATACATATGATACTTATTATTTCATTTGCCTTTTTCATTTTCTTCTTTCCCACCCGCTCCCTTTTTGTCCCCTTTTCTTATTTCCGTGCATGCAGTGCCCGTTTGCTTTCACATCGTTTTTTTTTTTTTTTTTTTTTTTTTTTTTTTTTTGTTTTCTTGTAGCATTTTACTTTCTCGAAAAACACTTTCAACTTCAATTTCTACATTCTATATCTGAACTTGCCCGACGATCATATTTATCAACATGTGAGCCAGTCATGTCGTCATGTTCCGACGACATCAAGAATTTTATCTACATCGTCTCTCATCCCTATTTATCTTGAGTGGCCCGGGATCTGTTTTGCTTTCCGTGGACGAGTGGTCGATTAATCCTTGACATCCTGACACCCGCAATGTGTAACCTTTCTTAAAACGCTTTACCATAGATACCTGCCCAAAGGGGACCCTCCCCCCCCCCCCCAGCCATGCTCTCAACCAGAATTCTCATCATCACTGGTCCAGATCCCACCACTGCTTGAAAATGGCAGCCTACACGTGTCGCACGGCGCCATCTTGCAAGAAGAATGAATAAAATAAAAATCGTTATGGATTGACCGCTTATAGTACATGTGCTACGCTAGCTTCAGCAACAGTGTCGGAAGAATGTATGCCTTCAAATGCTAGCACTGCCGCCAGAGGAATCGCACCTCTGTCGTTCCAATTCCCGCAGCTCCTTACTTCCCATTGTGCTTGTATCATAGCCGTTTTCTTCTAGGTAGCGACGAAAGCGCAAGTCTTCTAAGGTAATTGTGTCCTATGCGTAGAAAATCTGTGCGTCAGTTATGAATGCACCAACACACACTCACTCACTCGCACACACAAGTGTATATATAGAGAGAGACAGATTGGAGTGAAGAAACCCACCTGCCCAACGTGTGGCAACAAAAATATCGCAATTCCAGCCGAAAGGATGCACAGCGCGCTTGAAACAAAGAAGGGGTCCTGACCCGCGCGCACCTGATTGGGCGCGTTTTTCTGGATGATCGGGAACAAATACGTGCCGACAAAAGCGCCTACTTTGCCCATCGCAGCTGCGATGCCGTAGTACTGCCCGCGCACGGCAGTGGCACAGGTTTTGGACGCGAAGATGCCGACGTTATCGCCTGGTCCGAATTCACCAAGTGAGAGGAATATCCTGGCCGCGTTGTCAGTCACGTAAGCCACCCTCAGGGCAAGTATGAATGCAGAGGATGGAGAAACTAGTTACCCATAAACAACGACGAAGGCTGCAACGTGCTGCGGAGTAGCTAAATATTGATAGCTGGCTGACATGATGAAGCCAATGACTCCCTGAGCGAAGACACCAGCTGCGAGTGTGTAACGGGGGCCGATCCAGTCGGAAACGAAGGCGCCAAGGATGGAGCCGGGGATGTAAAACAGGTTGACGACAGTGTTCCACCCAAAGGATTTCCACAGGGGTGCGGTGTCAGCGAGGACCAGCTTGAGCCAGATGGACGAGTAGATACCGAAGGCGTAGACGGAGAAGTTGTAGATGAACCAGATGGCGGAGACAACAGACTAATACTCAGTCAGTGGGTCTACCAAAAACAGTCATGAAATGTAGATGGCAGTTGATAGGTTTACCAGTCGTCTCCAGTAAAGTCTAACGAGGGATAGTTAGCACATATAAGTAAGCCACGAAATTACCCAGGGTAAAATTAAAGTGAGATACATACTTGATAATCAACCAAACAGGATAGGTATGCAGTCTCTCCCGATTAAACTCTTCCGGTTCATTCAGCTTAAGTCGCAAGTAGCACAAGCTGAGCGGCGGAAGAACACCCAACCCCAGCATAACGCGCCATGCGGCACGCAAGTGATTCTCCGTAAAAATAAGAACCAAAATCATCGGTACAAACGCGGCAACAACGAACCCCAAGTTAATCTGGAGGTTCGTAAACATGATGAACCAGCGGTTGCGGTGGCCCTTTTTCAGTTCACCTGTGCTTTCTGCCGCTGCAACACTACCGGCGGGGTACTCTCCACCAATGCCCACGCCTAGAAAGAAGCGATAAGCGGTTAGGGCGGCGAAGAGGCCGTATGAGCTGCCGTTGATGCCGTAGGAGCCCGCAGAGAGAGCTGCAAAGACAATAAGGATGAGAGTGGAGATCATCAGGGCCCATTTGCGCGAATAGTGGTCGCTGACGTAGCCGAAGATGAGCTGGCCCAGGACGGTTCCAGCGAAGGAGATTGAGGGGACATTTTTTACGGCGGGGGAGTTTATGTATGAGTCTGGATAGAGGGTGCGTAGGATGGTATTGACTGAGCCGATAATCTACAAGAGGAGTTTTAGTGATATGCTGAATTTCGGAATGGATAGATACATGACATACATTGTTCAAGTAACCGTCAGAGAAAAGTCCAGCGCCACAGGCGATGATGGGCCAACTACGTTCCCAGCGACCTTTCTGCAGGTTTTCAAGGTCATTTTGGGGATCAAGGTCGATTTGAGGTTGGGCGGTGACAGTTGCTTCAGTGGTCTTCTCTTGGGTTTGGGAGTCTCTCTTTTCTGTGGCAAGATGAGCTTCCGACATAGCTACTAGACGTGTTGTTGTTAGTGGATGGGATGAGCCACTGGCACTGAAGGAGAAGTGAAGTTGAAGTGAAGATTTGCCACTTTTAGACACTCTCAAACACCCAGAGCTGATTTTATGGGGACAACGAGCCAGCGCAGGTTGGTGAAAGGTAAAGACCCAGCAGAGCGGAGGAGAGCCCAGGGTTCTTAGTGTTATTCTCTCTCAAACTTACTCGGCTTGGAAAATAAATTAAAAAGGAGGATAAAAATAAATGAAGGTAAAACTCAAACTTTACTTCCTCCAGGGTTAACAGGGAATAGGGTTCGCACCGGGACACCATGCATTCCTTTCCACAGCCCCCAAGCCTGGTTGTTGCAATCTTCCAATCAGAGTGACACCTTAAGACGCATGGAGAGCTGATCCGAAAGCTGGCTTTGGGTTCTGCGAACTGTATTCAGCCATCCAGTGGATGCCGGAAAGCATATTTACTCCGTAAAGTAAACCGAGAAAGGCCCTCGTTGTCCAATAACGGTGAATCCTCTAGAGCATCCCGAAGCAAGGACAAATTGGTTCGGACGCTTGAGTTTCGTGGAGATTTAAAGATTACTTCGCAGCAACGAACCATAAAGCCACGATTGGCTAAAAAAGCTTAGCCTGGTTAGCTAATCGGGCAACCGGTTAACTAACTAAACATAAACAGCAACTTGAACTTACGGGACGGGGAAAAGTATACCGGATGGGGTACCGTGGCGGGTTGAACTGACCAGTGCCTGGGGTTTCTGGCGCTTTGTGTTCATTAGCCACTCGGTTAGCTTTCGCGGGTTGCCAGGGTTGAACGCTCGAGTCACCCGGGTAAAGGAGCAATGGGAAACTATGAGCGATGATATTTAACATCAACTAGCCCATGGTTTCCGACAACTCAAACGTTGCAGCAGCGTTGACGAGTTAGGCGATGCAACTTTGATGCGAAACTGACTGCGGGCTAAACTACTTGTTTATTCGCTAACATACTGGCGCTCGAGTGATGAGGTGTGAAAATTAGAAGAAGTACAATGGCATCGTTTCAAGCGAATTTCAGTTGGGATATATATATCACATAATTGGATTGAAAATTGTCCAAAAAACGCGGGCGCAAGAGGGGGTACTGTGCCGAGAAATGAGGGAAAACCAAAAGCCCAGATGGGGGAATGAGAACGGGACATTGGGAAAATGGAAGCTGAGCAGAGAGATCTATCAAATGCTCCAGGATATAGCCCCAAGATATAGCCCAAAACTTACACGGTAGAAATGATCCAGAAAAATAACCACAATATCAGTAAGAATAAATAGAAAAATATGGACATTAAAACGGTTAGATCATCATCTAAATTCATCCATGAATTCCTTGTGGAACTTGACGATGCGATCCGTCCATGCAGTGCCTGGTGCTAAGAACGTGGTGCGGAAGTGGAGAGTGCCATCTTTCTGACCGAAGCCGGATCCAGGGACGACGCAGACCCCTGTGGCATCCAGGAGGCGGAGGGAGTAAAATTCGTCCGGTTCGCGGTTGGCTGCTTTGGCAGCTTCGATCGCTTTGGGTGGTAGATGGATGGTTGGGAAGAGATACATGGCGCCCTAGACACATAGGAGGACTTGGTTAGTAGAGGACAGAGTTCTATTGGTAGCAGTAGGTTATGAAACGTAGAAGACGTTAATTCATACCTTAGGTTCTTGACATTCAACGCCCTCCATCTGCTGGAATGCCTTGTAAAGGGTTTGGGCACGCTGATACAGGCCGTCTCGAATGCCATTATACTCTTTCTGGTATAGCTCGAAACTGGGATCTCCTTCAACTGGAGGGTTAACCATCATCTCAACGAGACACTGTCCAACGACTGGAGCGCAGAGCATGATACTGATAAATTTGTAGATGTTCTCCAAGACATCCACGTGGAAGCCGACGAGTTCGATATAACCGCCTCTGTGACCACATTCACCAACCATGCCTTTCGAAATGCTGTGCAGCGATGCTAGTTCGACATGATCATATTGACTCGGGAAGTCTCGTTGGAGTTGTCGCAGGCGCTTTTTGAATGAAGTAAAATCTCCCTCGAAGACGTTGGCTTGGTAGACTTCATCGGCCAAGATCACGAGGTTGGATTCGACTGCGACATCGATAACACCCTTGACCGAGTCCGAGGATAAACTAGCACCGGTTGGATTTCCAGGGTTAATGACCACGATGGCACGGACATCGATTCCATCCTCCTTGGCCTGTGAAATGGTTGATCTGATCCCATCTACATCGGTACCCCAATTGTCGCTTTCGTTAAGATAATATGGCACGCATTTGGCATTTAACAGGGACAAGGTGGCAGTATAGAGCGGATATTGCGGAATGGGTACGAGCACACCAGTTTTTGGGCCAGCGCAGAGCACATGGAGCAAGGTGTTGACTCCGGACGATGCTCCGGCAGTGAGATAAATACGGGCCGGATCCGCGGGGAAGCCATCGCGGCGCTCGATGAATTTGGCAACACTCTCCCGTATGACGGGAACCCCATGACTCTGGCTGTATGCGCCCACGCTTTGGACACCTTTCAGCAGCCTCTTTGCTCTGTCAATGACATCCTGTTTGTAGCCAAAGGAGGTCTTCAGCGCTTCCTCATTTTCTAGCAGGGCCGGGTGCTCGAGAATGCTAAGGACCTGGCGGAAAAACGTGATGGGTTTTTGGTCTAATTGTTGCGGATTTCCGATATTGGCGAAGATGACCTTGTCGAAAGGGAGCACGTCTTGGATATTTTCCTTTTCAGCATTGGCCAGTCTCTCACGATATTCCTCCGCCTTGACGGCTAGTTCGCCACGGACCGCATACTTGGCAGCCAAAACATTGGGATTGATGTTGCCGCCATGAAGACGGCCTTTTGGTTCCGATTTTGAGACGGAGCCCATATTTCGAAGTTGGAGGTGGAATATTGGTGAAACAGACGGTGGCGATGAAGAGGAAATGCGGAGAAAGCCTGAGATTTAAAAAGTGAGAGTGAGTCTAGCGCAGGCGGTCAAGTTCCTGTCGGATGGAGACGGGAGGCTAGGATATGGGGCAAGGCTAGGGCCGGATGAACCCGCTGCTCGCCATTAGGTCATTTTCTCTTAGATATTTTCTCTCCGCTTCCCACGTTTTCATTTCCCTCCTCCTCCTCCTCCTCCTCCTCCTCCTCCTCCTTACTTGGCGTGCGGGAGAGGGGCAACCGGCAGTGGTATATAGCTCGCAATGAGCTACACCTGATGCTAACTGGTCGTAGAGGGAAAAAAAATGTGCGTACCTTGGAGAGCTAGCAACCGGGATCTTGTACAATGAGCATCGACTGGAATCGACAAGGGGTGGGGGCGACGGTGGCGCCGTGAGAGCGAGCAGATATTCGATATATGTCGATTCGCCATGCTGCAAGATCATGTAGTTTACATAACTATATTTTACAATTGTTGCGTCGAAGCACATTGGGCCTGGTAACTGTGCGAAATTATTAAAGAGCTAGTCCTGATTAGGAAGGCCGCTAGCTACAATGGTAATGGCTTTAAACTTCAACCTTATTTCCACCAAGCTTTACAGATCTGCCTGTAACATATTTAACTTTTGAAAGAAAGAAAATAAAGAGAAAAAGAAAAAGAATAAGAAAAGAAAAAGAAATAGAAAAACAACATACTTATTTCTTTATCATGCAATAATTTTATTTATTTATAATATAAAATTTTGCATTGAAACTTTATCTGAAGCTTGTAAAAATAATAATATAATAATAATAAAATATAGAAATAATATAACAGAACTAAAATATTTAATAAATTAACTATAAAATTTATATTAAATTTATATAGTTATTAAAATATTATAAATATTATATTATTTTAAAGTATAAACTTATTATTTAATATAAAATAAATTTAAAAAAATAAATTTAAAATATTAAATATTATTAATTAAATTTTTAACTAATATAATTATAATAAATAATTATTATTTAATTATAATTTTAATTTAAAGTTTTAAATATATTTAAATTTAAATAATATTATTTTATTTATTATATATAAAAATATTATATAATTATAATTATATATTTGAAAATTTATCAATATTATTAAAATTAATATTTATATTTAATTAATTAATTTATTTAATAAGTTTATTAATTATAATATAAATAATAATAATAATAATTTTTATATTTTTTAAAAATTTTTATAAAATATTAAATAATTTATTAATTAATAGAATTTTAAATATAAATATAAATAAATACTTATATTAACTAATAAATTATTTATTAGATTATATATATAATTTAAAAAAATTGAAAATTAATAAAATTAATTTTATAATTATAATAATAAAAATATTATAAAAAATATATTTATTTAAAAATAATATAATATTTTAATATTAATTATAAATATTAAATATATTAAATTAAATATAATTATTAAAAATTATAAGTTATAAAATATTATAAAATTATATAATATTATTTTAAATTTTAAAATTTAATTTTAAAAAATTTAATTAAAAATTATAAAAAATAATTTTTTATTATATAAAATTTATATATAAAATTTATATTTAAGTTATTTACAATTTAAAATAGAAAGTAAGTTATAAATTTTTATAACAAATAAAGAAAGAAATAGTTATTAATAACTTATATTACTTACAAATAAAAATAGTTCTAATTATAAAATGGTATTGATTAGAATTTGAAGTCCTTTTTTATAACCTCACTTCACTCAAATCACACAGGTCCAGGCACTTCTCATTTCCAAAAATAAAGGGCTCATCCTGATCGTGACGGGTGTACCATTCTTTAAATACCGCCATGTTCCCTCCCTGAATAGTGATCACGTTGTTGTTCATTTTTCTCCTCAGCCTTCTAATTTCCGTTTTTTACGCAGTTCTAGGCTGATTGGATACAGACAATCTGCTTCAATCCTCTGCTAAATTCACTAACAAAGTGATGACTGTGGTCCACTCCAAGGGGAAGGGTGCTGGTCATCAGAACAGCTTCACTACGGGCTTACCTGCAGTCACTTTGGAAGGGCATGCGAAAGGCGGGGCCTACCGAAGAATATGCAGACAACATTTAAAAGTGGCGTGAGAACGGTCTGGAACAAACTCTCTTTGTCGGATTATGTTACCATAATGTTAATGTAACATATCTTTTTCCTTTCTGTCCTTGCTGACTGAAGCCAGGTTCTGCCCCAACGGGTTTGACATCCCGGAAGTGAAGGCATTCTACAACTGAAAGTTTCATATATTTCTCCCTGGAGGCCATCAGCGTGATCTCCAACGCTACAGCGCCTGGGAGAGAAGTTCGTGTTCAAGAAAATATCGCTTACGACCGCATTCAAACATATCAACCGTTATTTCTTTTTGAATACTCTAGCTATGCCGTATCACTACGGAAAGACCTCTTAATCGAGGGACGGATGAGGGTCCGGGAAAAGATGGCTTTTGTTCAGCCGAAAAAGTCGGGCAAGATGACTTGGCCCTACCTCTATTTCTCGTATTCATCAACCAATACTTCTGTCCCATCTCACCGCCCCTCCGGGATTATCACCTATTTCTAGTTGCCACGAAATTACTGGTGTTCATTTACATAAGTTCAACGCCTCCCCATCATCATTTGCTTGAAGTTTTCGTCTTTTCAGAAAGGATCAGTCCTTGAGGGGAGAACTCCATGCTTAGTCATTTGCAAGAGAATGTTAGGTGATAAATATTGACTACCAGCCAGGCTTTTCTCCCCTTGCAATTAAGGATCTTTTATGCCGTCAAAATGGCGGAACTTTCACAGTGAGATGGTGACGTTATCAAGGAACCATCCTCTAACTGACTCAGTCAATTGTTTACGAGGCGTGCTTCAGGAAGCTGAAAGAAGCTAGGAGTCGCGTCTAATTTCCTATGATGGCGCTGTTGATAGCCTTGACCAACTCTATCAAAATGAGATTTCAAAACCTGTCTACCCTTAACAGGGAGAGGATGCAGAATACAGCCCATACAGCCTTCGCTCGCGGATAAATCATGGAAATATGGCGTCTGATCTAGCACACTTATTCAAGCACCTCCAAAGGGTAGAAGGAAACCACTACCGGATGCTGGTATCCCTGGTCATCCAAAGGCCAACAGACGTTGAAATCCAAGATGTCGAAAAACGGAATGTTGACATCTGTATTTAATTTCATTGACACTGTCTCACGAACGAATCCATCGGTGAGCGTCCCCCCCTTCTTTGACAGCACGCTAGTCAAATCTACCTCGTCATCGCAGAAACAGCGTGGGTTGGTGAATCTGAAAATCTTCGAGGAGATACATGACTGCACATTTCAAGACGTCAAGGGCTTCTTTGACAAGTCCCTTTGAGGGAAAAGACTGGAGCAGCAGAGCAGGTACCACATCTGTCATCTGTTGATGGCTGCTGGCCGCAGACAGTGATGGCAATTGGGCCCAGTTTCCTGATCCTTCTACGCATAATGATGTTCTTGCCTGATGGTTTCATCTTCAAGAAGACCTTCTCCCAGAATCACGCAGCACCTACTTCACCACGGAGAGCAAAGCAAATCTTACCAGTTCGAAGGCGGAGTGACACAAGTCAACCTTCTTTTGAGAGCTAGGGGTGGGAGCCCCTCACAGGACAAACATGACTGAAGGCACGTCCTGGTGGTTGGCGAGTTCAGAAAGTCCCAAGGAGGAGATCAGGGCCAAAGGAACACTCTGCTGCAGATGGGCCACTACGTGTGTGAGGTCTTTTACCACCCAGCCCACCCAGCGGTTCGTCCACGCATTCGCTGTCTGCGGGACCAAGATGGATGCGTCGGTGCTTGACTGCTCGGGTCCCTACAGCTCAGAGCATCATCAATGCCTATGAGGACTCAAGACAGTTCTTTCAGGTGCATGTGGGTTATACCACGATGAGTGATGAGGAGCTGGGACTGAACACTTTAATTTCTAGGGATGAAGGCGGCAGCAAATCAATAACTGCCAGAGGACCTGGGACCTCAGAGGAAATGGTGCTGCAGCTGGGTGAATTGCATTTCTTTCAACATGCCATCGTGTTTTGTGGGACCATATGTTTTCTTGCAAACAAGGACAGGTGGAAGGTGTAGTCTAGTTCTCATGGGTATCAGACAAGCAGCACCCGGAGGTGGAACTCCTCGAGCTAGCAGGTCAGAAAATGTCCAAGGGGTCCCAAGAATTATTGGCCACAGCACCATCACCAGCGTCGCTGACATGAGTGCGACATGGCTTTGATGACACGCACCAGGTCTTAAAAAAAGGGGGCCCCCCCCCCCCCCCCCCCCCCCCCCCCGGTGCAGCCTCGTTTCATCAATCTCAGCCCCTCACCGAGTCCTGTCATTTAGATATCCGTCGAAAGTCATCTTCCAGGAAATGCAGGTCCCCAGATGAGGGGATGCAGGCGTTCAAACAATCGTATTTCATCAATCAACCATCAAGGGACACCCGGGAAGAGAATGAACCAGCTTTCTCCATTCACTCAGCGCACAAGCCGAGCCTCTTCACCAGGAATGGTGAAGAACTCCATGACGACTGTGTCCTCTGGTGTCTGGTAATCTCACCTGCTGGCTGGGCAATCTATGACTACAGGTCATCCTTGGAGCTTCTCACAGCGCTTCATGATGCAACAGAGGTGCATCGATCTCTTCACCTGGATGGGAACATTCTTCATCAGGATATTTCAGAAAACAATATAACAATATCCGAACCGATCCTCAAATGGCGGAAGGTCACTGAGGCATGCTAATTGATCCGGATCTTGTCAAGGAAGTCAGCAGTGAGCGCAGCAGCGCACAGCACCTGACTGGCACGATGGAGTTCATAGCGATTGAGGTGCTGCTCTATATCGACATGATCTTGAGTCGTTCTTCTACGTCCTTATCTGGCAGTGTGCCGGTCAACGGTTGGGAAAAATTACAGCAATGCAGAAGTTAGATCAGCTACATGGCTGGTCAGGACATATAGTATAGTACACAAATGATGCGCCGGAAAGTCATGAGAAAAATCACAAATACCAAACAAGGCATAAGGAACTGGTGGATTTGAACGCATCCTAACAACTGAATTTTCTTCGCCGAGCAACAGTTTACTTGAGAAAAGAGTGGTTCACTGATTCCCACAGGGATGCTGCAAGATTTAAGCGAAGCGACCATGGGTGCAGATGGATTTGGAGGATATTTTTCATCTGAGTTCCCCAAATATCTGAGTTTTGCCAAAACTCTTTGCAGAGCTATACGAGAGATTCTTTC